ATCTTGAAAACAGCGGTCGATGTAATCTTGGAGAGCGTCTAAACTCTCCCCGTTGTCCTCCAGGGTGTTAGAGATGATAAAACAGATGTTGTTAGTTATATGACAGTTGATTAGTATATTTGGTAATACTGAAGCTTGAAAAACCTTTGTTAAATTCTATGCTACCATTTGCTTTTTCTCCGGCGTCTGACGTCACCTACCGTCACTTACCTCTCCTGATAATTTCCGATCAAATTTCAATCAAAAACAAATTAAATGAAGGGGTTGAGTTTATTGGCACATTTTTTCTTTAGTTTCAAAATAAGTGGTAATGTTCTTCCCCTCAAGTTTGATTTCGTATGTTGTTTTGCACATAATTTTCAAGCTCTCTCGTTAGTGGTAAATCTGGGCAGCTTTGACAAAACTGATAGCGTCACATCCTGAGCTGCACCAGCAGGTTAACAAGCAAAATGATGAAATCATGGAAAACAGAATAATGAAAATGAGCCACAAAATAATTGTTTTCAAATTACTCAACGTAACTTAAACAATGACACTATTAACGAGCATTAAGGTATATTAATTATTTCTTTCAGAAATGATGTAATTATTTGATTGTCTGCCAACACTCTGTTTTCCACGTTGTCTTTCTTATTTGAATCCTTTCCCCTCTCTGTAGTCTTTCCATCTCTTTGCGGTAATATTGTGTCTCTGCGCTCACGTTCGTCCCTCTGTCCCATCACAGACGTTATCAACGTCCGCATAAACTCCCTGACATATATGAGTCTGACCCCTGTCCCACATTCAGCCTCCGCATAACCCTCCGCGTCTGCTTTGTGCGCTGATTGGACGCCAGGACTCGCTCGGGAACGCGCTTGCGTGAACTCGCCGTGCTAGTGTTTCCAGGAGACTCTCCTATGTGCACGCGCACGTTTCCCACACGCATCCCCGCTGCCCAAACTGCATCCCATGAAGCGCGCATCCGTTAGAAATTTGCATGGGGCGTACCTGCCAGTGGAATGCGCGCACCCGCTGTCCATCTCGTAACTGCTGTCCAGCCTAATTGGAGGACACTGAGTAAATGGGAAAACCGGGAGCGCGTCTTTGAGCTGCAGTTGGAAAGTGGAGCAGAGTGCGCACTGCTTCTCCTCAGGAGCAAAACTGCGTTGCTTTCTCACTCATAACAAGTTGATGTTTAGGCGGAGCTAGATGTTCTCGTTTATGGCAGGTCGGATTCTTTATCACATATTTTAATTTGACGATCCTGCTTTTCCAGTTGATGCGGAGGATACAAGCAGAGTTTCTGCACATGTAGCGCAGAAAGACGGATTCTCCAGAGGCTTCCGTAAGAGTAACAGCCATGTATGCAGGACGCAAGAGGAGAAAACCCGTTCAGCGAGTGTAAGTTTCTCTCGTTTCATCTTTGAAGGTTTCCCTCCGTCTATTCTAACATCCACGTCACATTTATTGTGTTTCGTAATTAAGATTTGTTTCTTTGTCGTCCTAAATTCATGGAAACAAATCTGTTTGCTGACGATGCTGAATCAGGTCGGTGGATGTTCAGTGCGGATTATCGCAGGCCTGCAGCTGTGGCCTCATTCTTTAACATGATTTCTGTCTGTTAATGATAACGCCACACTTGTGTGAATTATTGTACATGAATTATTTTATTGTCCCAACGTTTTCCGGGCCTCGAGGCTTACGGGACAACTGCTCGGCTATTTTCTGTCAAACGCCCTTCAAACAACCAGCTGGGCCGTTTTCCGCTTTCGTTTCCTTTTGCAGGGATATTGAAGATATCTTCGGTTTTTATGTTGTTGCTTCAGTAAAACTCGGCTTCATTTCATTTCAAATCTTTTTATAAAAAGGCCTTTGGTAAGAGGCCCTAATCTGTTTTTAATCGCATTAACGCGACTCAAACACTCACGAACCTTTCAGTACAAAAAAAAAAATATAATAATAATAATAATAATAATAATAATAATAATCTTTTAAAATAGATTCCAAGCGGTCAGTGGCGTCACGGTCACACTCCAGCTTTAAACTGTGGGAAACGGCACCGAGATGATCTGCATCCTCCGCAGGCCTTTGTTCTGCTCGGATGTGATCCGACTCTGGGAAAGCTGCGGAGAATTATTTAAAAAGTCATCATATGATAATTATTTAAAAATTAGTAATCATATCTAAAATCGTTACGTCTGCGTTCAGTTCTCCGCTAATGCGCTGCTATAAAACCATTTCCCCCCTTCCGGATGTCTGAGCTTTTAGCGTGTTTATCGAATAAATGTTATTAGACAAACCGGACTTGTTGTCAGGGTTAAACAGGCTGAATGTTTATCTGACTGCAGAATCCAGTTAATACAAAATGCAGTTGTTAGGTGATGATTTCATGAATTAAGGGAAAGTAGCGAACCAAACCAACCGGCCCTGTGTGGAAAACGTAATCGTTCCCTGAACCAAGTGTTTGATAAGTGGCGATGACCGTTTCACTTCGCTGTGGAGGAACTGTGGCCCAGTCCTCTTTGCAGAAGCAAATGATGAGAACACTGAGCCCTTCTAGGTTACTGTGGTTTTGCTGGTCAGAACTGAAATGACTGACTCCCATGAATGTGACAGAACTCAAGCTCAGAAACGGATCAGTGGTGCAGCATAATTCTTGAAAACGGCCTCAGTGTCAGTAAAGCTCCTAAACACAGCCTATAATTCTCCTCTTGCTGACACGTACTGTCACTGAGATGAGCATTTGGTTACGTTTGTGTTGAAACAGGGACAGACTTCCTGACTCCCCGAGCTTGTTTCACTCTGAGAACATGACGCGTGACGATTCCACGCAAACACATTTCCCGACTGAGCAACGCTGAATGTTTATGTGACTCAAGTGACTCAGAAAATATCAAATCAGAGAATGAATTTGAGTGAAAATAACAACGTGGTGCAGCACTGAAGAGGAAAAAGACACGCCTGCATATCAAGCTGCTATCGCTGATGTGCAGGATAAACAGATCTCCATCCATCCATGTGTTGTGATGTTAGGAGAGGTCGTTGTAGTCGTATTATACTCGCATCGTTGCCATGCTAGTGTGGAAAAAAAACAAAAACATGTGAAACTTCAGCTTTGATTTGGAATTGAAGTAAAGAAACGTTCAGTGTTTTAAATGTAGGCCGACAGGGAGGCCCACCCAGCACTGAAGTTCAGAGCATGTGATTGGCTGCTCTTTTAATGCAAACTATAAAATATATGTAGTATATATACTGACAAGACCATCCACATTATCAGTTACTGGATTTTCTAACATTAGAACAATAAAGTCACGTATTACCATGTTCCTTTATGACAGTACAGTATAGAAAGAAGGCATGTAGGATAAAGTACTCTTTACTTTGAGCTCTGTGATGTCTCACATTAGGATCCGTCAGCTTTCTTTCTTTGCATCTGGTTAATCATCCAGATTGTACTGAAGTCTGAAAGCACCAGTTACAGCCGCAAATAAACACGTCTGTAACGCAAAGTTATTGAAGGGCTCGTTTTATTGCAATGGATAGTTTACCGACTGACGCGCAGAAGAAATAGTTCTTTATGGAGCCTAGATGGTGTGAATGATGAGACCAAAGACTGCAATATCTTGTACCAAAAATATATTAATGGGGGAAATGGAACAAAAATAATACAACACACAACATAAATGCCCACAATTAAGTAATAAATCAAAGCTGTGATTTTTCTGTGCAAGAGTCCTTCTTGGTCCTTTTCATTTATTTATTTCACACAACAGATCAAACAAACCAACCACACTTTCTATCAATAAAGCACTACAACCATGTGTGAAAAGGAGCAGGAAGAAGAAAATGTTCTTATTAAACCCCGCCCCCTATCTACAATCCAACTTATATTACAAGTGGGCACCAAAAATCAGGGAACAAACTAACATTAACATTTCTCTCCGGTCCTAACAAACCAAACAAATTTACAATCAGAATAGACCACTCCACATAGTAACGAGGAGAAAAATAAAACAAAAATTATAAAGGATCCTTTTTCAATGAACTCCAATTTCATTGGCATTCTTCATATTGAGTTATCGTTTTAAGCATGTAACACTTTTTAAAACAATGTAAACTTATACAATTCTTTCAATTATAATGGAGTTCCACAGCCGTATACCCCTAACCGTTGGACTCATTAATCTTTGTGTTGTCCTAGCTAACTGATGCTTCAAATAAAATTTCCTACCATCTTCTCCCCCTGAACACATTAAAAATACTCTTTGTAATTTAAAGGGCAAAATATTATTTTTAAAGTTCACTTTTAAGGTATTCCTCCTTAGGGTCCATCTTCATACAATGGGGAAATGTCTGTAATCCAAAGACAGCAAAGTGGGGAAAAAACAAAACAAAGAATGGTCCTACCGGCTACCTACCGGCCACTTCAATATGAAGATGATCAATTCAAAGGGGGACAAAAAAACCTGATCTGTATGTAACACTGATGAAGCACTAATGAATTAATACAGGCTAGGGATTGAGTGAAATATTATGGTTATCATTAATCAGAAGATTTAGGAATGCTACTGGAGCTGATGGGCAGTAATTAATAAATACACAAAAATGTTTTTGCAGGTACCTTGTATTTAACCAAACCCCAAAGAAAAATAACAAAAGAAAAACTTAAATAATCACTCCTGCTGCAGCTGTCCAATTAATCAAAACCCAGTGAGGGTGCACAAAGACAACTAAGCAGATTCTTCTGGCTTATACCAAGCAATACACATTTTCAAAAAACAGTTCCCCCATAGACACTACATGTTAATATCAAATCCACTGATCCACACTGAAGTCCATGAGAGATGTCCAAGCGCTATTGTCCAGAAATGAGGGGAATGGTGTGTATGATTGCGGAAATCAGTGTATTTGGAAAATGGGGAGAGAGCGTCGTCTTTGATAGCTTCCTACCCAACCAGTGGAAGCTTCAATTGCAGAATGAGTCCTGCTCCTAGCAGTTCATTGGCTCGCCATCCTTTTTCATACCCCAAAAAAAGGTTCACCTGGCCTGCATTAAATAAACAAGGCCAATAAGAAATCACAGCCAATTAAGCCAAATACATTAAGTTGCCCCTGTGTACCTCTCTGAGCTTCTTCATCCATACATACCTTCCCGGTCCCTCAGGTCGGCAGACCAGCTCCTCCTGAGCGTGCCCAGGACTAATCGTAAGCTCAGAGTTTGCTGTGGCAGCACCAAAATTGTGGAATGAGTTGCCTTTACATGTTAGACAGGCACCTTCCTTATCTGTTTTTAAATCACGTCTTAAAACATATTTATTTACCTTGGCTTTTAGCACAGCAGGACTTGTTGATGTCTCCTAATACGTTTCTTATTAATTATATTACTTTTAATTTTAAGATATTTTATATGCAATTTAAACTGTTTCCTCTGTTTTATATTTGTAGCACTTTGGTCAACATAGTTGGATGTAAAGTGCGTTATAATTAAAGATGCTATGCTATGTTATTCTTGTTCCTGTGCGCACAATTTATAAATAAATAAATTGGTTAAATATAATATAACCAATAAGGATTTAACTGAAACATTTCAACTGCTACATACATACTATGTAGCTCCACAACATTTGTTATTCAACAACTATCGGTCAAATCAAAATCAAATTGTTTGGACCGGCAGCAGCCAATTAGCGTCAGCTGGTAGCAATACAAGCAGTCAATTAAAAGTTCAAACTCAGCAGTTCCGTTCTGTTCAGTGCACAACAACATTATGGCTCTGGCTCACAGTAATCAGCATCTAAGTTGCATAAGTTAGTTGGTGTTAAAAAAATGCATTAAAACGGGAAAAGCAAATGTTTGCCAATACACACCTGCAACAGCTCTGTCACATGGCTTGCCTCCACGCATCTGACGGGAGGAAGCCGGGACAGGCTTACTATGACCTACATGCTATCCGATTGGCTGAGCAAAGTCATGTGGTTGGAGTCATTTATTTGTGATGCGTTCAATGGCAGGAAATTAGTGCAGGAAATTACTCTGGGTTACACGTAGGTCAGAAAAATGTCTATTAGCACATCAAGTTCGATTCAGTTTACCGGTAAACAAATATATTTTTCTGAAAGTCTATGTAACGATGCAAATCATGAATCATCATCATCATCAATCAATGTACAACAGTTAAATTATTAATCATCTCGGCTACGTAGCTTAATCTATACATTCCAGTAGCGTTCGCTACAAACAAATACAAAAACAACAATAAAGAAAAACAACTGTCTAACAGACAGCATAGCCGAATTCAAGGCAACACATAACAATAATCATTCAATCACACTTTGTTTTAAAGTAAGCCCATTAAAGTGCTTAAGTAAATAAAGGTGTTCAAAAACAGCGGTTTTTGAACCGGAGTTCTGCTCGCGATGGGAACGCCGCCGAACAAAGTCATTTTTTAATCGCGAAAAAGATCGACTGGTTACTGACAACCAAAAGGTTGTTTTTGGTAGATATTAAGGACACTTACCGCTGAGGTGAAATGAGTTTATAGATAAATTGAGGGGAGAAACGCTTTGTTTTCCAACGCTGTTCTAAACGCCACGAGCTCACAGCCACAGCAGGAGTCGAACCCGGAAGTATCGCTCCACAGCCGGTTTTCAGAGTTGCCGCGACGTGGAAGGAGCCAATCAGGAGAGGGACCTCAAATCAGCTGACGTGGGTCATGTGACAGGGAGTAGTTGATATGGGTTACACGTCGCTTGGAAGAAACGATTCAAATCTGATTGAACTGAAAGCTTGTTGGTTTCAGTCACAGCCAGATAGATTAAGATGGGTGTTGTTAAAGGATTACTTCACACAACAAATGCCAGTGTTTGCTTACTGTGCAGGCTGGAAAACCATAGACCGTTCATAAAAGAACAACCTGAGCAGGCTAGGAGTGCATTGGGCCACCATCTTGGCTTTTTGAAATGTGACAGGGGACTGAGAAGCCAAGGTACACAATTCACTTATATAGTAATGATTGAAGGTAGACCTACCTTCAATCACACCCTACTTTATCTTTCCGCTGTACAATATTATTTGCACGCTGTCGTCAGTAAAGCTCCAACACACCAAAAACACATCACTTGTCGTGCATCATTTTGAAGGCGACGGCTTCAAGGTCACGTCTGTCACTCGTTTGGAAGCAGAGAAAAGTGGGTCTCAGGCTGCCTGCTTCCCACCACAGGCACTTATTTCACCCATCGTCACTTGAAGTCACAGAATGTGATTCACTTTGCTTAGTTTAGAGTTTAACCAAGTGATTGAGACAATAAACTGTCTTACTGCACTGTAAACATATGGAGGGTCTTTATGTCTTTATTATCTGTATTAAGCACATTTTACATCTGCTGTCAGAAAGAGTTTCCCGAGGTCTTGTTGGAGTGGTCGCTCTCTGCTGATTATTGGAATGAAAGTCAATTTTTAAGGGACTTCTTTACTTGACCACACTTTTGAGACCCAGAGCAATGTCTGTCTTTGATACACAGCGAGTCTACACGTAAAAATAATACAGAAGACAGGCTGCATACACGAAGAACCAGATCTAATCTACCTACAGCAATACCAATGGTTCTTGTTTGCTTTCTAATCAGGGTGAAGCAACCACCAACTGCGGGATCCAAGTCCAATCCATCTAAACGACATAGAGACAGGCTAAACGGGGAGCTGGAGCGGCTGGCCAGTCTGCTGCCGTTTCCTGAAGAGGTCACCACCAGTCTGGATAAACTGTCCATCCTCCGCCTAAGTGTCAGCTACCTACGAGCCAAGAGTTTCTTCTCTGGTAAAGTTACCTTCTGATCGCAGCAATGGCATTAAGCAGTAGACATTCATTTTGTAAGTCACAAACTCTTTTCCCAGAAAGTGAAAGGTTTTTGGTATTTCTCTATAAAACTTATGATTCCTAAACGGTTAGCGTAGCTCAGCGCAGTGATTGAAAGCAGGACAAATGCCAAAGCCAACACTTGCCTTATATTTGGACCTTTGGATATCGACTTCCAGTGTAAAAAGAGGTTCCCTGATGCTATTACCAGAAAATGTCTGGGCCCTAAAACCACTGAAGCTGGTGGCTGTGGGAGAGACTACTGCAAGGTAAAACTGGCTCCACACCTGGTGGACGACAGGTGCTGTGTAAAAACAGCCGTGAATAGACACATACACTAAATAACAACAATGTACAGCTCTGCACAGATGGGCCGTGAGATGTTCATCCATTCACAGATGGATATAGTATTAATCCTGTGTTGGAATAAATGCACAATGACAATAATGCGTATAATAGTCTGCACATTTGTAAACAGGTGAATATTTTGCAAAGTGCAGGATGAGCTGGTGGAAATCTGTATGTATGGTAAAATCCTCTGATAAAAAAGTAACAGATGAACTGGACTGATCAAAAATACAGTTGTTGTTTCACAGCTATAAAAAAAGTTAGAAAAATGTGAAATGTCACTGGTGGATTTCTTGTAGTTAGACCTTTACTCAGCAACTGATGGTGAAAGGTTTGCAGAACAGCTTTGCACTTTGTTTGTTTGTTTGTTTTGGTGAAAATCCCTGGAGCTGGTTCTGATTGGGTCCTTGGACCTTGTTCCACTTCACTACATCACCACAACACCAAGGAAATAAGGCCAACTTCTGTGGAAACGGATAGTGTAGAATATTATTGAAATTGTAAAGAGGAGGGGGAATAAATATTAATATGTAAAAAAATCAAAAATAGCATCTATTTAAGTTAGAACAGTAATATCCTCTTTGAAGGGTCTTTCACTCAGAACCAGTAGAGTTGAGAGAAGACTGCTGTTTCTCTCTGTACTCATGTCTTTTTGGTACTACAAACTGCGACTGGAGTTTGAACCAGGACCCTCTTGCTGTCTTAACCACTGCTTCCCTGTGAACCAATCCGGTTGTTGATGACATATGAACTCTGCTTCTGGGTCCAAACTACTCTGTGTTTATTAATTACCACTGTTCATTTTAAAGCTCAGTTTTTAAACCCCTCTGATGTAACTACAGCCCATGCAGCAGTATATGAATGACTAACCTCGTACTGTGGATGGATTATCTCAGTTGTTCTCCTGACTGGAGTTTGGTCCGTTTACAGCATCCTGCCATGCGATTACATTTGTCTCTAACCATCAGGAACCCTCACGTTTACAGATGAAAGAACTGACAGTTTGTGGGGATAGGTTAATTGGATAATCCAAATTGTCAGGTGTGAATGTGCGAGTGAATGTGAGTGTGAATGGTTGTCTGTCCTTGTGTGTTGGCCCTGCGACAGACTGGCGACCTGTCCAGGGTGTACCCTGCCTCTCGCCCTATGACAGCTGGGATAGGCTCCAGCGCCCCCCACGACCCTGAAAAAGGATAAGCGGAAGCGAATGGATGGATGGACTCTCAGTGATGTTGTCGTGTTCGTTTGACTTTGGGACCTGAAGCGGAGTTTGGACCTGAAAACGGCTAATGACTTCAGACTTAAAGACCAGATAGAAACAAACTGGAATTTGTTTTTATGTGTTGTTATTGTGAACAGAAAGCAGCAGCTGTTTTTAAATGTCCTCAGTTATTTTCAGCCGTGATGATTGTGTCACAGTCAAGCTACTCTTTTGGTGTTGCCCAACAGCTCGCAGATCATCTCAGAGCACCACATGGACAAGAACCCACTGCCTTCTTCTGATGACTTCATCACAGCGACAGGCTCTCAACATTTCATTAAGACCTGTGTCTGTGTGACTTCACATATATGGGGATTAAGAACTGTTTGGTATGTGTTGCATGGTGTTCAGAATGAAAACATTGTTATTTTAGGTGGCGATCTTTCGAGGCGAATGCTGCAATGCAGTGGCTCCCAAAACATGAATAATTGAGAGAAACCCTGGAGTTTAAAGAATTTATGAAATGGAGGCAGAGCAGTGTTTGTTTAAGGCAGCGTCGTTCTGAAATGGCTGTTTGGTAGAGACACACAGGTTACAGCTGTGGTGATTAGAGCATGTTTAAAGTGTTTGCACAAATGCTTTGCTTAGTTTTGCCACGTGGCTGTACGCTAAGAAAAGAAAGCAAAGTGCTTTTCTTACGTATTTCCTTAATTATGTTCAGGAGCTACATTTAGCAACATACAGAAGCATTTGGTATCTCCTCAAGCTGTCACAGTGAATTATTGATCGTGGATTGGCGTAGCATTAGGTCAAAGTGTAGCCTATAGACAAAACCTCTTGTCTAACTGCATTAGCCTACTTCCTGGACAGTCTCTAAGTAATTAACAAGCTCAGGGCTCTTACATAAAGGAAGCAGCTCCAGTGCTCCAGGCTGCCTCTGCAGTCAGCTGTAATTTGCTGTATGTAAACAGCACAAATTGTCAGAAGCTTCCGAGGCTGGATGACCTGGACAGCATGGAGCTAGCAGCACTCTGGGAATGCTGCCACTTCTTCAGCACTCTGCTCCGCTTGGATGTTAAGAGGAACTCTTAAACACTAAGAGAGCTATGACTTCATTAAGTATTGTTTTTTTCAACATCAATAAGGTGTCTTTAAAAATCTCCTGAGAGCGGGCATTGAATGCATCACAGGAGCTGAACAAAGCTCTGACAGAGCCCATTTAATCTGGCTGACAGCATTATCCGAGCCAGCTGCCATCTTTGTTATTGTCAGCAGCTACAATGGGCTCATTCAGTCTGAGGAGAGGTGAGTTAACGCTGCAAACACGTGGATCCCCCCGCCCCCCGTATCCTCAGCTATAAAATACACATTCACAGCTGCTGTCTGGCATTTGGATCCAAGCACTGTTAGAGATGCTGAATCAGCAGATGACCTGCTCGACCACCTGAGCTGCAGGTTCAGCCGTTAGTCTGAGCTAACGTTTGAAAAAGTTCAGATCATGTGTTTCTAGCAGTCCTGTCACAGATGACGTGCAGTGTAGACGCAGTGATAAGATGAGATAAGACTTTAGTGATCCCAAACGGGGAATTTTTTGCGTCACCTCAGCTCAGGTACAGAAGGAAATCCAAAAATCCAAAAAGGACAACCAATGAAAAAAGTAAGATAACACACTATATACAACAGTAGCATACACAGTATGTGATTATGGATATGGTTGGAAATATGCAAGACACAAACTATATAGCTGAACATAACTATTGTACCACTACTATTCCTATGTATAGACATGTACACACACACACATGTACACACTAAATATACATATGTATTCATATACAGACATATATACCTGCACATGTCCGTACACATGGAAGCATTATGCATGAAGTGGTGACCGTGGATGTTCACAGTGTCCAGTGAGTCATGACATCGTGATTGAGGAGTTATGGAGTCTAACTGCTGTTGGGATGAATGATCTGCCAAAGCGCTCCTTCCTGCAGCGAGGGTGTTTCAGTCTCTGACTAAAGGAGCTGCTCAGCCCACTCACAGACTCATGCAGTGGGTGATGTGGGTTGTTCATGATGGATGTCAGCTTTACTAACATCCAACAACAGCTTTACTAAAATGCATGATGTGCCTTTTAGTATTACAGTCATAAACGTGACTGGAAGTTTGGGCAGTGGAGCAAATTCACTTTGCCACTTTCTATTTCGCTTTTCTAGGTTTCTGTGATATAGAAAAGAACAAGCATAAATGTTTCACAAGTTTCAAAGACTGTCAAATAAATCACATGTATGCCAGGAGTCACTGTTAGTCGATCCTTCTACTTTAAAACTCCTGCAGTTGACTGGATGTGAGCTTCTGGGACAAATCCTGATTGATGGGGATCCATTTCTGCCTTATCAGAGCTCCAAGCTAATCCCAGAATGTGGAAAATGATGTCAATTCTATAACTATTGTCCTCAAATGGCTAGAGCACACATTTAGCCATGCTCTACATATAGTACAGCACAGTAGGTGTGACCATAGCAGCTGTTTTATTCATTTATCCATTTGTTTTTTTGGATAAATTGTTAGATCAGCTGTGCTACCATAGTGAAGATATCCCCTTGGAGGCAACTGCTACTGTGTTTACAACAAACAAAAGCTTGATAAGATTGTAGATGACAGAACTGAGCCAATAAAGACGCGTCTGGGTTTCTTAGAAACGTCTGTGCCTGCAGCCGGACGCTCTGTCCTTTTTCCTCTTCCTGTCCCCTTTAACTGACCCAGTGTCCTGGAAAGCTTCCCGCAGTTTTTTTTAAAGACAGGAAGCCAACCTGATTTCACTCCAGTGTTGCTGAGTCGTCCCATCCATGTTTGGACCTGTAGGTAACCACAGACATGGTTATTGTTGTCATCATTAACATTAATAATCCTATTGTTGTATCCATAGCTGGGTATTTGTTGTTCAGATAAGCTGCGGCTCTTGGAACACGCTATTGTCATTTTAATTTTAGTGGATTATATTTGTAAATGAACAAATACGAATAATGTTCATAAAGAGAGCAAAACATTATTAAAGAGCTGTTTCTGGCAGGTGCAGTAAAGGGAAGCAGGAATGAAAATTGTCATGATGATAAGGCCACAGAAGTTCAGGGTCTTCCTGTGGATTCCTCTGATATTGTATTAAAAATGAACCATGAGGAGAAAAACACATAAACCTGGCACACAGCTGCAAATATCTGCAGTTTGTCCCACTTTTGTAGCCCAGAACTGCTGCTCTGGGATTTGTTATGTAAGCTGTGTGACCATTCCCAAAGTCTTGTGACAGGTCATGATGCCTGTTTCACTGTGCACTGCTTCCCCCTCCTTCCTGTAGGTCATCTGTCTGACCACAAATGAAAGGTAGAGCTGTGGGGTCAGCACCCTCTGCCAGCCTCATCCTCTGTCCTTCTCCTACTTGGCTTAACCCCATCCCCCAGCCCTGCTAATGCCAGGAAGGCGGCACAGTTTTCTCTAATATGTGTGCTGGTGTGTACAGCATGTGTTAGTAGATGTGGGAGTGGGGCAGCTGCATTGACTGTTCATTTTTGCATCGACTCTTTCTGTGCTGTGTTAATGCTGTCAATGCAAAGCAAAGGATCGTTTGGTTGTTTGCACAGAGAGGAAGGCTGTGAGGATGTGGTTGTATTGTAATTACTGCATGCCCATTTATACAAGGAGAAGGTTCACAGACATTACACATTAATATCAGAGCAGAAAATTGTGCATTATTTAAAATGTCAAACTCATGTGAACTTTATTGTTATGATAACTTGTAACCTTATTTGTGTAGCACTTTATAAAGTGCATGTTATTGTAAATTATAGCCAAAAATGTGATAAAATATTAATATGTATGCGTACTAATCAAAATGAACGACAGCTTCAGGGATGTCGTTTCAAAGGTTTGGTGCTGCAAACTCAAAAATGTGGATTTGAAGTAAAGCAGTGGAGTAGTCAGTAGTTTCTAATGGGATAACTAGAGAAGCTGGAAGCTCAGAACATGAGCTATGTAAGAAGGATTTGGGCTCTGTAGGGCTTTATGTGTGATTCATGAAAATATTTAAATCAGTTAAAAATTTCACGAGAAGCAAGAATAGAGAAGATGTGAGTTTTTACTGGTTTTGTTAGCAGCCAAACCCCTGAGCTGTGGCAGGTTAGTGGGGCTGCGTCATGTAAACAGTGAAGTCCAGTGGAAACCTGTTTGATGTTTATGGATTAGCCTGTGTAAAAGTTGTGACAGGACCTTTCAGCAGGCGTCATGTAGTGAAGGCAGGGAATTCATTCAATCAATTTCAACTCTGTAGATTTTTATTTATTATATATAAAAAAACACCCAGCACGCCCCTGCGGGCGGTTTATCCTTCAAGCTCGGGTCCTCTACCAGAGGCCTGGGAGCTTGAGGGTCCTGCAGTATCTTAGCTGTTCCCAGGACTGCGCTCTTCTGGACAGAGATCTCCGATCTTGTTCCCGGGATCTGCTGGAGCCACTCGCCTAGCTTGGGAGTCACCGCACCTAGTGCTCCGATTACCACGGGGACCACCGTTACCTTCACCCTCCACATCCTCTCGAGCTCTTCTCTGAGCCCTTGGTATTTCTCCAGCTTCTCGTGTTCCATCAGTTTATCAGCTAATGCTAGCATGCACACCAGCTGGGTGAGGGGTCAGCGTTGTTAAAAGGGTCAGCTATACTGACCTCTTGAAATTCTTCATAAAGGGCCATCTGCTGTTCATGTGTTCAGCTGCGAGCTTGTCTGCTGTCACTGAAACTGTTACAAATGTGTCCAACTTAAGAGTCATTTTTATATCCGTTTCTTACAGCAGTTAGTCATCAAGACGTTTCACATTAGTTTTCCTCAGATCTTCCACAACCAAGTTAGGGTGCGCACACAGTAGGATGTACAACCACAGCACATCCACACTTACCATGACAGCGGCTGTATGTAGAGTTAGTCGTCAGTAGTTGCTCCTCCTGTATGTAATGTGCACTTCAGCTAATTTTAATAATTGGATTAGAAAATGATTAAACTCAAATGTGTTTTCTTTGTCTTGGGTAGACTCTGACATACTCGTTCCTTGTTTCTCAGTTGTGCGTCTAAGTCTCCTATTTCTATTTTTATTTTGGTTTGCGTCTTTTTTTTATTAATTAAAAAAGAAAATGTTTAAGAAGAGTGAGACCAACCCTTTCAGCAGTCTGTACATAAGCTGAAGGCGCTGTCATATGTGCAGACATTTGAAGGAACGCTCATGAACCTTTAGTTTGCAGCTTCTCGTCTGCATTTTGTACACCAACACATTACAATAAAAACTGCCTGCAGAGCCGGCAGACAGAGCGCCAAGTATGAGGGAGTGCCTGATTTTCAGGGTCAGTGCTTGTTTGTCAGGTTTAATCTATCAGTTACTGGGCCAGATACATTTGGCCAGTGCTGACATGGGGCCCACTGATGGGATCAAGCACGCTGCTTCCACCACAGTAGTTTAGCAGCAGAGCTCCTTTCTATCATCCAAAACACTCCCAAATTAACAAATAATTTCTTCGTGAAATAAAGTACATCAAAGTTTAACGCTCCAAAGTGAACTTCAAGCAGCAAGTCCTGGTGATGTTCCCACAGCTTCCCACGTTCAAGTAGCCAAATTGAAGCGTCAGGTAAGATAACCAGGTGTGCTTTGAAGAAGGGCTTCTGTGAAAGGAGTCGAGTGTAGCTGCATCTGTAGGGTGAAAACTGTGGTCACAGCGGCAGGTTAATGGGAGTCAATGGGAGTAAAACGTTGTAGATAAATTGCTCATTTGAAAACAGGTGAGGTTAATAAAGTGGTGGACATGATCAAATGTGTGTGTTTCTAATAAATATGTTGTAAGTTCATAAGAAAAGAGAGAAAGGGGGCGTGGTGAAAAGTTGACCTGACAACCTTCAACTTCCCACTAAGCCAGTGGTTCCCAAATTGGGGGGCACGCCACCTAGAGAGCCATTGCAGGGAGGGGGTGTGGTATAAATTAAAAATATATATATGCTTAGACGCTGCTGGCATAATGGACAAACGCAAAAAACACAAAGCAGGGGATGAAGCATCGGCAAATATTCTTCCACACCAACTTCTTTCTAAGCCAAAGACTAGAAAAGATGATGAAGTTTAGCATTCTCATTCCCAACGTGTAATACTGATGATTGTCTCATATTAACACGAAAGGTACCCTTCAGTGTCCTGATGATATGCTTTGGATTCTCAGTTGAATCCAATAGAATTCAGCTAGTGGCGGTAACACGCTCCAGCATGTACTCCAGCCCTCACCTCAACCGTGTTTCATGATCAGAACATAAAACACATTTACATGTGTAGATTCATTCCAAATGGCTCTCGTGCCTCCGAGTGCCTGACGGACGATTTGTCACGGCGTCGGGATGTGACGTGTTGCCTTTGGCTTCACCTGCACAACGATGAGGAGGAATTTGTCGTCTTTCTTCTCTGTTTTAAAGTAAAAACAGTATATTTGAGTTCAAAAGCTCTGAACCTGAGGAAACTGCTCATTGCATAGAAACTGCATACAGTGCTGTGTTAGTGTGTTTCCTGCTTTTAATGTGGAGAAAATAACAGCAGTGCTGTGCAAACATCACAAGACTGAAGCATGTGTGTTTCTCTCTGCAGTTGCCCTCAACAATCGAAATGGAGGGAAGGATGGTCACAATAAAACAGGAGGAACAAATACCAAGATGCCCGAGGGTGAGCTTCTGCTGCAGGTCAGTTATGAACCACCAAAAGCACCATGACTACAACAGAGCAGCCCTTTATCATCACTGACCGTGTGCAACAAAACTGTTTGTCTATATTATTATTTATTAATTAGTCAAACATGTTGTCTTTAGTGTTAGTTTGCTGTTAGGATTCAGTTCCAGGGATTCGCAGCTGGGAGCATCATGCAGGCTCTGGGACTCAGCTCTCGATGAGACTGTCTTTGACATTTTACTCTGTTCACGTGACTCATTGTTTCATTTTTGTACATTTGAGAACTGCATTAAAACGGCTGTGTTGCTCGTCTCAGTGTTGTTCAAATATGTTTGACTCCATCTGTGCAGGAATAATACGATTTAGCTTCTTTATACTTAAAAATACCTGAAGTTTTAAAAGCACACTTGTATAAATGTTTGTGTGGCAGACGTGTAAAAAAATGACAGTGACCTCTTCATGACAAAATCACAAAGTGTGTGAGGGATGATTCACTGCCATCCTCACATCGGTTCACACTGGTGCAACTAAACATCGCCTGAGCTGTTCAGCTGCAGCCAGTGAGCTGATGAGTAAAGGAGCAGTAATTTGCACTTTTGTGTCTTTGGGTCATGAGTGAAAACAGCGCTACTGTCATTCTCATAGCCACGAACAGCAGGAGGCTCAGTGTCTGTTGGAGCTACTTCAACGACGTTACTGCTCAAGTCTTCATCAAGTCAGTGTTTATATTTGGATTTCATCCATAAGCCAGCGCGTAGCATAAGAACTCGTTCCTCAGGAACGCCTTGGGACTTGACAAATCGTCGGGATGTTACGCCTCGGGAGTGAGAACGGGCTGTAAATGCCTGGAGTCTTCCCAGGACTCACATCCACCAGGTTACTGGTTTGGTTAATCCACGGCCTCTTTATGGACCAGTTTGTGCAAATGTACTGTAAATATCACAGACTTCGGCTCTAATCAAATACAAATTAGGTGACCTGGAGAGTGTGACAGGATAATCTGATAGAAATGCTGTTATGGGATATTTTCTGGAATTTCAGGTAGAAATTATTGATCAAAAATCCAGTTTGACTTCTAACAGAAAGATAAGAGCTCTGTGCCGTCTGTGCTGCGTGTGTGGAGAAAGCTTGCTGGCTGCCGGAGCTTTTCGGGATCGGCTGCAGTCTTTGATTTTCCAGCCCACTTCCTTCCAATGTGCATCACACTGGCATTCCAGGAGAGCTGAGGAAACAGGCTCCTTTCTCCAACATTCAGACTTCTTTCACATGATAACTGTACGTTACCCAAACTGTTCGAAGTGAGAAATGAAAGGTCATTTGTAGATGAGTCAGGAGGCGGTGCTCCACAGAGAACTTGCTCCTCGTGCTCCTGATCCTCAGAATAAGCGAGGAGATGAACAGTGATGGTTTGTCTCCAAAGAATAGGCTTCATAAAAGGAGTTCTTGTATGAAGCCTCTTCCTTTGCTGTTCTTCACATCAGATGGTAGTGAATTATAGAGGAGCCAGTCAATTATTCAAACAGAGAATGCAGGAAATATGGCAGAATTTAGTAATTGTGCTACTTTTCCCTTTTAGGTAATGTTAATAATGAACACAGTGAAGGTTCACACAACAGCTACGACAACACAGGACACAGGCTGCCTGCTTTTAGTCTGGAAACCAAGACGTACACAGATGATGCCTGAAGTAAACCCTGACAGCTCGGAGGTTAATGATACCATGAGGTGCTAACTGGTTTGATTCTGGATGATTCAGGAAGAGTTCAGACATGTTTGTGTCAGTTTCAGTGGCTGTTCATGCTCCCTGAAGGAAGCAGGTCATGGGAGGGCATCAGTGCTGTGCTATCAGAGAGGAGTGTGTGTGTGTGTGTGTGTGTGTGTGTGTGTGTGTGTGTGTGTGTGTGT